TATGTTTCGGATTCGTCCATTTGTCTCCCCTCAGGGCGGTCAGACAAGACTTCTTTCGGTTATTCAGCAATATGCATGCCCAGAGGGCCTTAGCTCAGCCACCATACACGGTTTTTTTTTGTTTCTTTTGCACGCGGCGGTGCTGGTGGATTTGCCTACTTGCCTCAGAGTGTGTATTCTAATATTTGACTGGAAGCGGGTCTATCCAGGGCTTGCCACAGGCTTGCCACGGGTTTCGCTCTCTCAGCAATAATATTCCTTTCACCCGTCCCGCCTCCCCTAACGCTGGCACTCGCGGCGGCGGCACCAATTGGCCGCGAGCCCGGCCCGGCCGGCGGCACAGCATGCAGTACGGGCGCACGGAGTGACGGTCGCTCGGGCTCAGGTGAGGCGCGCGGCGGCCGAGGCGACAGCGCAGCAGCGCGCTTTACTGCGACGTGCAACATAGTAAGCATGGCGCCGTCTCCCTCCAGGGCGCTGGGCGGGGGCCTCTCGCTCGCACACACACACATACACGCCACACGAGTCCCCTTCTCCGCGCTGCAGCACTCCATTCCCTCTCGACGGCGACCCTCGGCCTCGGCGCTAGCAACGGCAGGGTCGTTCGGTCCACGGCCGCCCGCCCCGCCCCGCCCCGCGTTGGCATTATCCGCCTGCATTCCCCGCGCAGGGGCCGCGGCGCGTGTCCTGCCGCGGCCTTTCACTGGAACAGACAACAGACACCTGCACCTGCAGCTGCAGGCCTGCTGCGCTGCGCAGACACTTGGCAGACGCGTGAGGCGGGCCGGCGTGGGGCGATCGCTTCTCCCTGTTCTCACGCCCCCTCCCCCTCCCCCACCCCACCTTTACCATCCGTCACTGCGTCATTGAGCTACAAGTACCGAGAGTCTACACGGCTCGTCTTGCTCGGAGGAGTTTGGCACAGCCAAACTAAACTTATAGTTGTTTTTTTTTTCTCTTTTTGGTGAGAGTGGCTGCTGTGGTTGCACGGTGCATCGCGGGCCAGGGCGGCAGGGGAGCAGTCAGCGGAGCAGCCTCATCGGCTCGCGGCTCAAGTCAGCCGCAATCGGCCCGGCTCCGGCCGATAACGAGAGGGAGGAAGCGCGGCGGCCGGAAGTGCCGGGGGAGCGCGCACTGCTGCAGCACGATCGGACTGCAGCTCGGACCTGGGTGGTGTGGTCGTGGGGGGGAGGAGAAGGAGGAAGAAGAGGAGGAAGAAGAGGAGGAAGAGGAGGAGGAAGAAGAGGAGGAAGAAGAGGAGGAAGAAGAGGAGGAAGAGGAAAAAGAGGAGGAAGAAGAGGAGGAAGAGGGCGACGAGGAGGACGCGAAGGTCGAGGAGGACCAGGGGACTAGAAAAAGGGGGGGGGGCGAGGAGGACGAGTAGGACGAATACGGGGAGGAGGAGCAGGAGGAAGAGTGGGAGGAGGAGGAGTGGCATCGAGGAGCATACGCCTCTCCCGCCGCTCCTCCTCACGCGCTTGATAACACGACGCTAAATTTAGCGGCTCTCCTCTCTCTGCTCCGCTACAAACCCAAACCCAACGCTACAAACACGGTGGCGTCGACGTCGTCCGCACGCGAGGCGCGGTCGGTTTGGCGGTGTGTGTAGGACTCCGCCGCGCCTCCGCGGAGGCGAATATTTACCGAAATAACGGGCTAATTAGTGTTGGGTTGGTTGGATCGGAAAGGCCATGGGAGTGGCGTGGGAGGGGAGGCGGCAGGTGCCTTGTTCGCACTTGTTCGGACAGTCGGTCCCGCGCCGGCACCACCACGCCCCTCGCGGCCACCCCGCCGCGCCACGCCTCCACACCAGCAGCAGCAAAAATAACAGCGTTTGCTCTTCTCTCCCCGGGTGGGTCGGGTCGGTCGGTAGCGCACTGTACCCAGTCCCTCAGCGTGGAAGCCAAGATTTAAATCGGCGCGCGGCGGGCGAGCTGGGCGCAGCCATGGGCAGCCAGGGAAAGGCTCGAATGTGCATCGCGGCGGCCAGCAGGCCGGGCCGGGGGAAAATAATTCATCCAGATATTTCTGCCCCTGCTGCCACCGCCGACGTGCCGCTCCGCGGGCGGCGTGACGGCGGCCGGCCGACCGCGCCCGCAGCCAGACTAGGAGGGGTCCGCTGCTCGCCCCGGCCGACCGGCGAACAGCTGATCGCCGGCCAAACTGCCCGCGAGCAAAACACGGTGATTAGACACGTCCCGGGGCAGGGAAGGCGGGAGTGGGGGCGGGCGTCCTGGCCGCGGGCACCCGCGCCGGCAGCCAGGGGGCGCGACGCTGCCGCCCGCGTGTCTGGATGGGTGCCCCCGGACGCGGCGAGCGGCAGGCGTGGTGGGCGCGCGTCTTCTTCCCACCCGTGGGAGGGGCGTCAACGGCGACCTTGGGCAGGCACCCAAAGGAGCGCGTGCAGGG